TTTCTCAAGTAAATCATTGGTTAGAACAAGAACAAAAATAATAGTAATAATAATAGTAAATTAAGAAAAACGAAATAAAAAAAAAAAAATCGCCAGCAAATGACAACAACGCAAATAAATAATGAAGCGCCAGTAAAAAAACTAAAAGAAAAAAATTTTGTTAGAAACGCAGAAATAAATAAGACAGATCGATTCTCTAAGGATCGATTATTCTTGAAAAGTAACTAATATCTGTTAGATATTATTCACTTTGCGTATTATGTATTGTTATGATGAAGCTAAAGAAGATATGATGTCCATGACAAATCTCAGTAAAATCACCACTAGAATTCTGCTCCCAATAATATATACATAGATAGATGAAGGTTTGTCTAAAAGTTTTGGTATCTCATAAAAAGATTTCTTTTCTCTCTTATAACAAATAAAAAAGGCTCAAAATTGGGCTAATAGTCAAGCAGTACCAAATGAGTATCAGTCTAAATGTTCACAACTATAACTTAAGCTATAGTGAAGATATATAACTTCAAACTAAAAGATTTTTTCCCATCATCTAATTAAGTAACCAGGTGCCCATGATAAACGGTCGTATTTTGTATTTTTTTTCTCAGTTTCTAATATGTTTGTTGCAAAAAAAATATATCAGAAGATGGAGCGTCAAAAGATCTATAATCTACAATAGAAAGCTTATTTTATATATGGTCTTTTAATATTCAAAATCAGCAGATTTCGAAGTGAGTGAATTCTGATGTTGCGAAAAAGTTATTTTTTATACATGATGAATTCTTTTTTTCTTTATTTTCTCTTTTCATCATTTTCATCCATTTTGAACACTAAAAGATCATATATAAAATAAGCTTTCTATTGTACATTGGAGATATTTTGACGCGCCATCTTCTGATATATTTTTTTCAAGAAACATATTAGAAATTGAGAAAAAAAGATCGAAAATAAATCTATTTATCATGGACACCGGTTACGTGATTAGATGGTACGAAAAAAATCTTTTAGTTTGGAGTTACGTCTTCACGATAGCTTGAGTTTTAGTTGTGAATATTTAGAGTGATACTTATCTGATATTGCTTGACTATTAGTTAAATTTTGAGCTTTTTTTGATTTTTTATAAGACAGAGAAGAGAAATTTTTCTGTGAAGTACTAAAATTTTGGATCACCCTTTAAGTAGGTAGATTGAGAAATACATAGATAGTTAGGTAGATAGTTAGATAGATAGGTAGTTAGGTAGACGGATAGTTCGATAAATAGATAGTTAGGTAGATAGATAGATACGTAAGTAGATAGATAGGTAAGTAGATAGATAGTTAGATAGACAGATAGATAGATAGGTAGGTAGGTAAGCAGATAGACAGATAGGTAGATAGATAGATAGATTGGTAGGTAGGTAAGTAGATAGATAGGTAGATGGATAGATAGATAGATAGGTAGGTAGGTAGATAGATAGGTAGATGGATAGAT